GCTTCTCTGTGTTACTCATTCCTCCTCCTTCTTGTACTTTGCTGTTCTTCCCAAGCCTCCAGAACAGAATTCAGAAGGCACAAAGTAGGTCAGAGTGATGGTAGAAGACAACTGATATAAGTATGCCTGCTTTTCCCTAACGGAAATGCTTTGTGTAATACCACACTCCCCCTTTATGGATTACTGCCTTGTCGTGGCAAAGGGGCTTGCGTAACTCAATGAAGCTATAAGCTATGCCGTGCAGGGCCACCCAAGACGGACAGGTTATAGCAGAGAGTTCTGACAAAATGTGATCCACTGGAGAAGGAAATGGCAAACCACTCCAGTATCTTTGCCATGAAAACCCCATGGACAGTACTAAAAGGAAAAAGATATGACGCTGGAAGATGAGCCCCTCAGGTCGGAAGGTGTCCAATATGCTACTGGGGAAGAGCAGAGGGCTAGTACTAGTAGCGCCAGAAAGAATGAAGCGACTGGGCCAAAGCCGAAAGGACGCTCAGCTGTGGATATATCTGGTGGTGAAAGGAAAGTCCGATGCTGTAAAGATTTTTTCTCCATAGGAACCTGGAATGTAAGATCCATGAATCAAGGCAAGCTAGACGTAGTCAAAAAAGAGATGACAAGACTGAACATCGACATCTTAGGAATCAGCGAACTAAAATGGATAGGAATGGGTGAATTTAACTCAGATGACCATCAGGTACACTACTGTGGGCAAGAATCCCTCAGAAGAAATGGAGTAGCCTTCATAGTTAATAAAAGAATAGGAAATGCAATACTGGGATACAATCCCCAAAATGACAGAATGATCTCAATTCGAATCCAAGGCAAACCATTCAATATCACAGTAGTCCAAATCTATGCCCCAACCACTGGTGCTGAAGAGGATGAAATTGACCGGTTCTATGAAGCCCTACAGCACCTTATAGAATTAACACCAAAAAATGATGTCCTTATCATCATGGGGGATTGGAATGCTAAGGTAGGAAGCCAAAAGATAACCGGAATAACAGGCAAGTTTGGCCTTGGAGTACAAAATGAAGCAGGGCACAGGCTAATAGAATTTTGTCAAGAGAATACGATGGTCATAACAAACACTCTTTTCCAACAACCCAAGAGACGGCTCTACACATGGACATCACCAGACGGTCAACATAGAAATCAGATTGACTATGTGCTCTGCAGCCAAAGATGGAGAAGCTCTATACAGTCAGTAAAAACAAGACCAGGAGCTGACTGTGGCTCAGATCATGAGCTTCTCGTTGCAAAATTTAGGCTTAAATTGAAAAAAGTAGGGAAAAGCACTAGGCCACTTAGGTATGAACTAAATCATATTCCTGATGAATATACAGTAGAGGTGACAAATAGATTTACAAAATTATCATTATTGCTACCCAACAGTCCTGGAGCTGGCAGAAAATGATTGCAGTAGAAAATGTGTTGCCCCCATCAGTGATCCTTGTTCTGCAGAAACACAATGCTAGCAAATGGATCTACCTTTATATGCAATGTGCAAGACATGTTAAGGATACGAAAGTAAATTTCCCAAATTGCTTTCCCTACCCATTCAACATCTCCAGCTAGCAGGAAAATATCCCATTCTTAACATGGGATGGAGCTGGGCTGCAGCTAGGAAAGGAAGAAAAAAAGGCTTTGATAAGATGGCTCAACAGGATGGTTTAATTTTCTCTGCTCTGTTTTTGGCTACTCCTGTCAGTTTGGTGCAAATCTGATGAGTTCCCCTTCAATTCCCTCATCTAAGTCATTGATGAAGATATTGAAGAGTACTGGGCCTAAGACGGAACCTTGTGGTACGCCGCTGATTACTTCTCTCCATGTGGATGTGGTGCCATTGAGGACTACTCATTGAATACAGTTTGCCAGCCAGCTACAGATCCATAGATGTTGTCTATCCCACCTTTTTCTAGCTTACCAAGGAGTAGGTTGTGGTCTACTTTATCAAATGCCTTACTAAAATCTAAGTATACTACATCCACATCATTTTGCTGATGTACTAGTTTAGTCACTTTATTGAAGAATGAAATAAGATTGGTTTGGCATGATCTGTTTTTAACGAACCCGTACTGGCTACTAGTTATAAATTTGTTTGCTTCTAGTTGTTCGCAGATCTGTTTTTTGATTATCTTTTCTAGGATCTTCCCAGGTATTGATGTTAAACTGATTGGTCTGTAGTTTCCTGGGTCTGTTTTTTTTCCCCTTTCTTGAAGATGGGAACCACATCAGCCCTTTTCCAATCGTCAGGTACTTACCCAGTGCTCCAGGGTTTATGAAAGATGTGGTGTAATGGTTCTGAGATAACATCTCCCTTCAGAACTCTAGGATGTAATCTGTCGGGTCCCGGTGATTTATACTCATCAAAGTCTCTTACTATTTTCTTGCTTATTTTAATTTTTGTTATTAGTTTGTCTTTTGCAGTGGTTTTTTTTGGTATGTTGAGATATAGTTTCTTTTTGTGTGAAGATTGATGCAAAGTATGAGTTAAGCAGTTCTGCTTTCTCCCTGTTGCCTGTTATTTCCTTGCCATCTTCTCTCCTTAGTGGACCTACAGTTTCCTTGACTTTTGTTGTTGTTGTTAATGTGTTTGAAGAAACTTTTCTTTAATTATCCTTGATTTCTGTTGCAAGTCTTTGTTCATTCTGAGTCTTTGCTTTCCTGACTTCATCTTTGCATGTTCTGGCTGTCTGCTGATAATCAGCCTTAGTTATGTGCCCCTCTTTCCATTTTTTGTATTTGTCCTTTTTGTCTTTCAGTTTGTCTGAGAGATCTTTGTGCAGCCATGCTGGTTTCTTCTTGAATTTCTTGTTGTTGTTTTTTTCAGTGGTATTGTGCTGGTCTGGGCTTTTATGATCACATTTTTGAGAGTTTCCCATGCTTCTTGGGTTGTTTTCCCCTTTAGGATTTTCATCCATGGGATCTTTCCTAGGTTCTCTCTGAGTTTGTTAAAGTCAGATCTTTTGACGTTTAAGACACTGGTTGGATTGTTTTCTATTGCTAGTGTTTGCATTATGTTACATTCCAGTATGATGTGGTCACTTTTATCCAAGATTCTGGCAATTTCAATTCCCTCTATCGCTTCTTCTCTATTAGTAAGGATTAAATCCAGTATAGCTTTATGTCTAGTTCCCACCTCCACCTTTTGGGCGACAAAGTTGTCGGCTAGGTTGGTTGCTCTCCCGCTCACTGCAGAGTTTGTCTCCCACTTGATATCTGGATAGTTGAAGTCTCCCATTACTACTGTGGTATGCTTCCTACATACATTTGTTAACTGGCTGGCAAAGAGTTCATCTGTTTCTTCTGATTGGTTGGGTGGCCTGTAATATACACTTATGGCAATGTCACTTTTTTTCTCTTTTATATTAACCTATATACATTCTGGAGAGATTTTATCTTGAATCATGTGCATTTCTGTAGATATGTAATGTTCTGAGCATCAACTTTGAGACCTGGTAGGTTCAGAGGAAGAGAACCTTTCTAAAAGTTCCAGTCCCTCTCTCTACAAAACATGCAGGTAATCCTTGGCTTAGGACAGCAATGGGGAGCAAAATTCTGATTTGGTCACAAAGCATGATCTTACATGACCATTTTACTTAGCACTGGCAATCTTGGCAGTTTCTGTTGCTATCATTAAGTGAAGACTGTGAAGGTCCTTAACAAGGATTTCATGTCACCATGCTATTAGAAGAGGCACTGAAACTGCATTCCAGGCAAGCAGGCCAATGGGGGGGCAAGCAGGTGCTGCAGGTAGGCCCTATCCTATGTAAATGGAGGATGGTACAGAGTATGCTTGGAATTCTTTGGGAGAAAAAAGGCAGGCACAGGAGTGATTTGCAATCTCCTGCAGGCTTCCCCATTGACTTTGCTTTTGGGAAGCTGGCAGGGAAGGTCACAAATGGCAACCACATGACTGTGGGATGCTGCAACTGTTTTGAGCCAGTCCCCAAGCATCTACATTGTGGTCATGTGACTGCAGAGTGCTGTGATGGCCGCAACTTCAAGGACCAGTCATAAGTCCCTCTTGTTCAGTGCTGTCACAACTTTGAACTGTCACTGAAGGAGTGGATGTAACCTAACAAGCTACCTGTAATTGCTTTGGAAAGTGTGAGATACAACACCCTCAGGCACACAATAGATGCTGGGCTGATCCCACTAGAGCAGACATGTCAAACTCGGCCCACAGGCTGATAGTTTGACACCCCTGCTCTAGAGGTCACCAAATAGTTTGAGAAGTGCTTCAGAATATAGTACTGGCAAAACTACCATGGCTTGCTTCCTGTTTTAAATGGAAAACATCAATGTAGTTAAGAAAGAATAAGTGAAGCTGCCTCAGGAATAGACTGGGGATAAGATGTATAAGAATCATGTCAGAAAAAGAGATTGCCAGAGCTGTGGATAGGTTAAACAGAAAAGGATCCTGGTCAATCATTTAAAAAGTCACAGTGAAAAAAGCCACAATTAAGCAGCAGGCACAAAGCCAATGATTCCTAGTTGGCTTTCAAGAAAATGTTGAATTCTTTTTGTTTTCCGTGGGAATATTTTATTGTTACAGTTCATTTTCGGTCCTACCAGGGATATTTTAGTCTTGACATATTGCATATTTTATTCAGCTGATGGTATATTCGTTTGGAGTATGTTGAATGAATGAATGAATGAATGAATGAATGAATGAATGAATGAATGAACGAACGAACGAACGAACGAACGAATGAATCTGGCCAATTCTGTTATGGGTCCCTGTTCTCAGGACACAAGAAAAAGCAAATGGACCAGCGAAAGGAAGGGGTTTAATGTTCAGCTCATCGTTTCTTGGGGCTGTGTACCTTGGAGGTTCCCGAGTATGTGGTAGTGCGCCGGAAGTAACTTGCCTTGGAGTTTACAGCAGTGATGCCGAAAGCAAGCGGCCCTTCTAACAAATTGGCTCTGGGTTTGGAAGCGGGGGCAGGTGGGATCATCCGGCCCGATGAGGTAGGGTGGCTGGGGAAGAAGAATCTGGCCGAGGGGAGGAAGGCGAGGCGCCGGCGCTCGGGTGCCTACCACGTTTGGCCTGGAAAAGATCGGGAAGCGCGCCAAGCTCGGGAGCAGCGGCTGCCGCTCTGGGCGAGAAGCGAGGGCGGAGGTTGCCCCGGCGGGACTCCTCCTCCGAGGGCAGGGCCGGGGGCGGGCAGCTGGAGCGAGCCCCGATCTCGCCGCCGCTTCTGCAGCGCTGGGAGACGGAGCAAAAGCGGCCGCCGCGGTTGGACCCCAGAGCAGCCCCGACGCGCCGACCACGAGCCGGAGACCCGTCCGGGCGCCTGGTGGCGGCCGGAGCCAAGTCGGCCGGCAGCTCCGGGAGAAGGGCGAAAGGGAGCCGCCACCCCAGCCTCAGCGCTCCAACTTTCTTTTTTTTTTTTTTTCTGCGGCTGCGAAGGAGGAGAAAGTCTCGCTCGGGCAAGGGCGAGAGCTGCGGCAGGGGTCGCTCGCCACCATGAGGCGGCTCGGGGGCGTCTGGCTCCGGTGGCCGCCGTTGTTGCTGCTGCTGCTAGTGCCTTGGGAAGCCCCGGTCTACGTGCGAGGTAGGCGCGTCCGGGGGACTCCCCGTTCTCGCGCTCCCCACCGTGGGCGCTGCGGAGATTGGGGCGCGCCTGAGTCTTGGGGATTGAGGGAGTGGGGGTCGCCTGGGGCAATCTTCTCCCCCCTCCCTCCCGGCCGCCGCCTCCCGGTGCGCGCAGGCGGTGAGAGGTTCCGGGATGGGCTACATGTTAGACCTCGTACGGCGGTTGCGCTGCTGGAATTGGTCGGGGCTGGCGGCAAAGGGATGCTCAGGGGCAGCCTCCGTTCTCGCTTCGGATCTGCCGGCCAGTTGCCGGGGTGAAATCTCGGGACTGATCCGTCTCCCCGCAAGGCGCGGTGCCTGCCACCCCCCCCCCGAAGGCTCGGGACGTCTGCAGCTGCCTCGATCCGAGCTCAGCTGCCCCTCCGACTCCCGGGTGAATTCGGACAAGATAGCGAAACGTTGTACTCTTGTTTGGCCGGGGGAGGGGGGGGGGAGGCTTGATAAAACCTCGACCTACAACTAAGCCAGCCTCATTTTTCAGCTGGGCACCCAGCCTGGGCTGTAATCCTGTGCGCGCTTATGGTCCCCCTTTTCCCACTCAGGTTTCGTTCCGAGCGAACTCGCTGAGAACTAGCCACCCTACTCAGTAACACACACACAGACCCCCCTCCCCCCACCGCTCCCGGTGATCGTCTGGTCGGTTTCCCTCGCTTTTCAGTTTTTACCCGTGTCTCGGAATCTGTACCTAAAGACACCGGAGAGGTGAAGGGCTCCATTGGAGGAGCATTGCGCGCTGCCCAAAGGAAGTGAAATTTCAGCACTTTGGCATGTGCGCAGAGCCTCCTGTCTAACTCAGCAAGTCGCGGGCTTCGCCAAGACTGAATTGTGTGTATCTCTCTCTCTCACACACACACAACTCGGTTCCGAAAACTTTTATTCTCCTTTGGTACAGCAGGAAGAAAAAGACAAAAAAAAAGGCGCAGGGGGTAAAGCTTTGATTGACCTTTGATAAAAAGAAAAAAAAAATATTAAGGCTTCTCCCGCGCGGGGAGGGTGGAGCGGCGTCGCCGTTGCTAATTTGCAAGCGGTCGTTGAATGTTTCTGGCGCCAGCGCGGAGGGCATCCCGTCGCACTGGCTACCTGCTGCTGCTTTTCTTCCCTACTTGGCCTTCTCTTTCTCCCACCCGCTATCCATGCGCCTCGTCCGTGCTGGTGTGTGTGTGTGTGTGTGTGTGTGTGTGTGTGTGTGTGTGTGTGCGTGCCGGATCTGCTCAGGGCCATTGATCCATTTTTCCTAGCGCAGCCTTCAAAGCTCCCTTTCTACAGGCAAGCCCAGGGGTAGGCAACCTCGGCTCTTTTAGGGCTCATGGACTTCAACTCCCAGAATTCCCGAGTCAGCTGTGCTGACTCGGGAATTCTGGGAGTTGAAGTCCATGAGCCCTAAAAGAGCCGAGGTTGCCTACCCCTGAGCAAGCCGGATTCCGACAAAGCCGCAGCAAAGGGGGTCTCTGCTTCCTCCGCGTGCCTTGAAACGACTTTTCCTCCCCCTAAAAGGCAGCTTGGATCCTTTGATGCCTTGGCGCTCTGCCCCTCCCCCCTTTTCTGATTCAATAAAGTGAGCCCCTTCCTCTCCCCTCTTCCTTCCTTCTTTCCTTCCTTTCTCCCATTCTGTCTTTCTACTCTTGTGGATGACTGTTTGTGTTGTTGGGTTGGATGCTGGAAGGTGGTGTGCCGTGCAGGTTATTTCTAGCCTCTGTTGCATGTTAGGACAGCAGCCCTTCTCAATAGGAATGCAGCTGCTTTTTCTGCTAGGTGAACTCCTTAAAGGTACAGCTCCTCTCTCCTTTCGAATGGTTTTGGAGCCCGTTTCCCAAAAGAGGATTTACTGTCGAAAATGCCTAGAGATGTTAACTCAGCTGCTCTGATTATTTTGCAATTAGATATGGGGGGGGGAGAAAAATAGTGGTTTATAGATGATTACTGAACGTGTCGCTTGTGCTTGGTGCTAAAAGAGAGGATTAATCAATACTAGTGGGAAGCAAAATATACTAATTAAGAATAGGTCGACAATGTTCTGCAAAGCGTTCTGTGAAGAATGGCACAACGGTCTCTTCTAAGGTTTCTTTTGGCTTCCCTGTAATTTCATCCACCTGTCTTCCCAGATGCTGATTTAAAGTTGCAGGAAGTTTCTGCTTTAGAAATCAGGGCTCCCATCATTCTCGTGCATTCCCCCCCCCCCTCTCCCCGGGGCACCAGGAAAAATGACTTTAGACTGAACAGTTCTGTTCTTCTCAGAACCCGGAGGAAGATTAATAGTTTGGAAGCCATTGGTTCAAACGTCCAACTCTAACCCACGACTTTTCAAAGTTTCAGTATGAACAAAGCTGAATCTGGAGTGAAAAATTTAAAGCCCCCGATCTTTTTCAAGCGAAGAGACTGGATAGAATTTTATTTTGGCTCTCTCGCTCCAGGTGCTTCTATTTAATGTGTCCTGGCAGTTAATGACCCGTCTAGGGATGCTTGCTGTAAAGTATAGGTCATTTGTCATGCTTGCTTGTAAGTGGCTGCATGTTGATGTCTGCCAGAACATTGTATGCCAGGGTGATTTAAGACAAGTAAACCTTTGTGTCACAAACCCTATTCTAGCATTATTTTTCTGAATCTCCCCCGATAGGAAATACTGAGATCGAGGCTTAAGTTCGGACTATATTCAGAATGCATATACAGTCTCTCACTTCTTCCCCAGAGAAGTCACCCTGCTTTGCAAACGATCTGCTCACTTTTCAGAATTTTCAGAATCACAATAGAGCTGGAAGGGAGCTTGGAGGTCTTCTAGTCCAGCCCCCTGCTCAAGCAGGAGATCCTATACCATTTCAGACAAGTGACTATCCAGTCTCTTCTTAAAAACCTCCAGTGATGAAGCACTCACAATGTCTGAAGGCAAGCTATTCCACTGGTTAATTGTCCTCACTGTTAGGAACTTTCTTCTTAATTCCAGGTTGCTTCTCTCCCTGATTAGGTTCCATCCATTGTTTCTTGTTCTGCCTTCTGGTGCTTTGGAAAATAAATTGATCCCCTCCTCTTTGTGGCAGCCTCTCAAATACTGGAACACTGCTATCATGTCTCCCCTAGCCCTTCTTTTCTCTAGACTAGCCAAACCCAAATCTTGCAACCATTCTTCATATGTTTTAGTCTCCAGGCCTTTAATCATCTTAGCTGCTTTTCTTTGCACTTTTTCCTAAAGTCTCAACATCTTTTTTGTAATGTGGTGACCAAAATTGGATGCAGTACTCAGGTGTAGGCTTTATAAAGCGGGACTAATACTTCACTTGATTTTAATTCTATGCCTCTGTTTATACAACCAAGGATTATATTAGCTTTTTTGGCTGCTGCCGCACCTTGCTCACTCATGTTTAAGTGATCGTCCACTACTCCAAGATCCCTCTCACAACTACTGTTTTTGAGCCCTGTTTCGCCTAATCTGTACTTGTAACTTTGGTTTTTCCTGCCCAGGTGTAAAACCTTGCTTTTCTCCACATTAAATTTCATTTTGTTGGATGGGGCCCATTGTTCAAGTCTGTCAAGATCCTGAGTGAGTCTTCTGGGGTGTTGACTATTCCTGCCAGCTTAGTGTCATCTGCAAATTTGATGAGTTCCCCTTCAATTCCCTCATCTAAGTCATTGATGAAGATATTGAAGAGTACTGGGCCTAAGATGGAACCTTGTGGTACCCCACTGCTTATTTCTCTCCATGTGGATGTAGTACCATTGAGAACTACTTGTTGAGTATGGTTTGTCATCCAGTTACAAAGCCATCCCACATTTTTCTAGCTTACCAAGAAGTAGGTTGTGGTCTACTTTGTCAAATGCCAAATATCAAATACTTTTCTAGCCAAGCAACAGCCAGCCTACAGAGTGAAGAAGACGCACAGTCTATCAACAGTCAGATCATTGGCTAAGGAACCAGAAGAATCCATGAATAAGAAAATTTGAAGGAAAAGCAAAAGTTGAGTTCTCAGTCATCTAGGTCATAGTTATCCCAAAGATGCTTTTTTCATGAGGCAATTGGACTATCTCCAGTCTACAACACAGTCCTTTCAACAGTTCCAAGAAGGCTCCACACACATTTGTATTACTCAGGTGACCCTGGAGACACAGATAAGCCTCCAAGTAGCTTTAACGACTCCCTAAAAGAATGCAAATGAACAGCTGTCTGCAGGAGTATAAATCTTTCCATTCCCCACCATCCAGTCAGAAATGAAGAAGCTTCTTGGATGAGAAGTAAAACGTCTTCAAAGAAAAACAAGGAAGTCCAGTTTTGAACGTGAAAAAAGCATTTTTGGGACAAAAGTTGAGTTTATATAAAGGCTGGGTCCTTGTAGTCTTAAGCCAGTGTTTCCCAAACTTGACAATTTTAAGGCATGAGGACTTCAACTCCCAGAATTCCACAGCCAGCATTGCTGGCTGTGGAATTCTGGGAGTTGAAGTCCTCATGCCTTAAAATTTGTCAAGTTTGGGAAACACTGTTTAAGCAATGACCCACTCAGCTTATCTATCCATTGTTGGAAAATCTCCAGTAATGGAGCACCCATAATTTCAGGAGTCAGGCTGTTCTGCTGCCTTATAGCTCTCACAGTCAGGCAATTACCTTGATTTTCATTTTCAATCTCTGTAAAGCTTCCATCTGTTGATTCCTGTCCTATTCTTTGTGACAGCACGTCAAGTATTAGAGGACTACTATTATGTTTTCCTTTTAGCTTTTTCTTCTTTATTCCCAGTTCTTTTAACCACCCTTCATAGGATTTAGCCTCTAAGCTCACCACCATGGTTATTTGCATTCTTTTCATACCACATCATCCTTCCACAGCATCCTTCTTGTGTTTTGGCAACCCAAATCTAATTACTGTTCCAGGTGCTGTTTGATTTAACATAGTGTAGAACGAAACTATCACTTCCCATTATCTTGACATTATACCTCTGTTGTTGATGCAGCCCAAGATTGCATTGGCTCTTTTGGCA